CCTCTCCAGTGGAAGTGATCGCGGATCCGATCATAAGTCCGGCCAATTCCTTGGTGGCCACCCTGCAAGCTCGTATGATAGTGATGCAAAATATCCTGTTGGAGTGTCTCGGGTATCACCAATCGCATCAACTTGTCTCGATCTGCGGCTTCCTCCTTAGTTGTCGGGCAGTAAAAGAGTAGATCCGACTGATCCACTTCGTAATTCATAGCAATAGATCTAAACATCTTAGCATCATCTTGTGTCAGATCCCGGATCTCCCCAACCAAATACTTCTTCAAGTCCAGGATCCACGACTCCTCATCCTGTGCTTGTCTGTCGGATCCGCTCCATTCTCAGCTCTCTCACAACCTCCCCACGTAATGAGTCTGGATCTGATCCGATACGTACTCCAGATCTAGCTTTAGATCGGGTCGTTACGGCCGATATCTGTTCAATCCCGTCTTCGATCTTCACCACCAGGATCCCATCCAACCACTTCAAGGTCACTAGATCCTGGATCTCATCTTCGGTCTCAACCTCGATCCCACATTGTCGTTGTAGTGCGGCGCTGGCCAAGCTGTCAGCGCTAACATTCCAATCTCGCTTAACATGCAATAGCTCGTGACCCGGCGTCGACCCAAAGCCCACTGGCGCAACAGTGTCAAACCCGACGCCTTGCAGTCGATCTCACCTCGTACTTGGCGGATCACCAGGTTTGAGACTCCGCAGATCACCAGGCGTCGTGGATCCAGATCATCCAACAGATCCGAACATAGCAACAACCCATGATATTCCGCCTCGTTCACCGTCAAGCCTTTGGCGTACCCAGATCTAGCCTTTAACACCCTCCATTCAGACAGCTTCCACACGATTGCGCTGTAGGCGCCTCCACCTCTCTTGACACGGGCACGATCGAGATCAATGCCTTATCCACTTCGGACCTAGGGGTAATACTGGCTGCCAATGCTCCTAAGATCTCGTCCTCTCCTTTGACACACTTGGTGATCTCAAGTGTCCAAGGCGACAGCAGAGCAGCCCACTGTCCCAGACGTCCTTGCAGGGCTGTGGATCTGAAGAGCCACATCAAAGTAGAGTGTCGGGTCAACACATGGGTCGGACGTCCGGCCAGTGCATTGTAGTTAAGATCCAGGATCCTTAGAAGGGCTAGTACCTCCTTCTCTGCGATTCCGTAATTCAGCTCATTTGACTTCAAGGTACGGCTCGCAAACATTACGTGGTAGTAGATCTTGTCATAATCCTGCATCAATGATCCTGAAATAGCCCAGTCGCTGGCATACACTTCAATCGTAGCACTTTGATCTGGATCAAAGTGCCGTAAGATCGGAGTAGTAGCGATCTTGGCCTTGAGCACACTGAAGGACCGGTAGGCGTGGATCCAACGCGGATTCACTTCGGTAAGATCTTGCGCCTCCAGATCCAAGGTCTTTCGGTGGTCGATCACTTGATCTTCCTGTGATCCTTGATCCGCGCTCTCCACCTCTAATATCCGTTGGATCTGCGCTTGGGTGGTGTCTTTCATCATCGCAGCGAAGTCGATTTCCCGTAACTTGTACAGGGCCGACGCATAAATCGCATAGTCCTCGATGAACCGACTGTAATAGTTCAGACTTCCCAAAAATGACTGCATAGCTCTGAGTGATCCTGGAAATGCTAGATCAGTCAGTGCCGACAGATCCTTCGGATTTGCCTCCAGTCCATTTTAAGAGACCTTATGGTCGAGATATTCCACCTTAGGCATTCCCCAGAAACTCTTAACCACACTGATCGACAGATTCAACTTATCGCACGCCTCGAGTAGGCCTTCGACTCGATCACATAGTTGATCCCAGTTATTGGCTGGGATCAGGATGTCGTCGATATATGATCTACGCCCAAGCACCGATGGCTTACCTAGATCCACCGGTTCCCCGTCCTCAAACACGTCCAAAGTACCTCCGTGATCGTCAGACTTTGGGATCCGCGTGAATCCATTTAGCGCGTTGTCGATCATACGTTGACAGATCTGGGGCGCATTCTTCAAGCCGAAAGGCAGCCGATTCCACTCAAATAACCCAAAGGGAGTGATAAAAGCCGAGATCAAACGAGCACGATCCGTCATTTTCACTACCCAAAATCCACTCGCCATATCCAAAGAACAGTA